TGGCCACGCAAACCCAATAAACGTACAGTAATTCATGTTGCTTGGAGAAAGTTGTTCTTAAGTATGATGGAAACTACCTAAAAAGAGGTAGCAAATACAAAAGAGTTTGTACTTTGGTTTTATCTACTCTGCAATCAGGACATTATCTACAGTGTTTGTTCCCTGTTGACTCCCAGAGATATGCAGATTGCTGAGACCTTTGGATTTCTCAAGGTCAAATCAAACTGAAGGCAATCATTCCTCATCCAGCTTAGCTGAGCCAAGTTGCTTGCTTTGGCACTGCTACTGCATCCTAAAAAAGCAGATTTTTCTTCCTTGTGGGCAGGTGGTTAGAATACCATATAGAGCTCATTTTTGACTGTCAAGATTGAAATTATTTCTCAGCCAAGGATAGCTATAAGTACATCTGTTAGCTATTAAATTGTGGAGAAAAAAAACAACTTTGCAAAGGTTCAAAATGTACCTCATATGTAAGAAAAAAGTAAATCAGAATTTCAGACCAACTTCTGGAAAAATGTCTAAAAAGATAAATGCAATTCCATTATGTTCTGAACAAGAAAATAACTGTAACTCTGGTAGACCCTGTTCTTAAGCCAATGGGACTTCAACTACAGTTTGAGCAACAGCAGCTTAGGTGATTTTTACTAATGTGTCGAAGACTTTAGTAAAACCTGAAATTATTATTTTTGCTCAGTATGGTTTTTAACAGATGTTTAGATTCTATATATCAAAATCTGGGTAATTTGATGTCTCTGCCTGTAGTATTGCTAAAGCTAACAATTTTAATGGGAATAATAAGAAGTGTTAAATATTTGTGGTTTTTTATTATACGATAGTAAATTTAAGAAAGTGAAAGACTACTCTTCATTAGTAGAGGCTTTATAAAGTTTAAGAGATTGTTCAGTAATTATAACTCATGCTAATGAACTAGATATGAAATTAGCAAATACTAAGTTAATTATTACTTATAGGAATTTTTCTCTTAAGGATTCATCCAGATATCTTCTAAATTTAATTAAAAACTTCATGTGTGATACCTTACGGAGGTCATGGTTACAGCCAGTCAGAGAAATTAGTCTAAGGATGCTCAACTAAGAACAAAAAATAGAAGTTTTTATTGCTTTCAAAATATGTTATTGACTGCAATTCCTTTGTAGCAAAGACCTTTCACAAGGAATTGATGTAAAATTCCCGATGAGCTAGTAGTGTTTTTAAATTGATATTTGCCTTCAGGATTTTTATTTTTGCAGCCATTGTTGAATAGTACTAGAAGCATTCCAAAGTATTTTTTCACTTTGAATTGTATTTATTTCGCACTGAACTATTAATCATTGCATTTAAAACTGTTATTCATTTACACAGATCTAAACCCCAAATGTGATAGCAGTAGTCTGCAAGGCTATCCTTAAGAAAAAAGGTGGAGTCAACATTTTTCAAAAATGTTTATGTTAGTAATTTGCCCTTGTAGCATTGCACGAAATGATGGACAACAGTTTTATTTCATCATGCCCAGCTGAATTGTTTAACTAGTGAAACAAGTAAATGGTAGTTTGTACATTTATATCAGGAGCCATATTGCCACTGCAGCACACACATATAGTCTCTTCTGTGCAATTTAGGTCAGAAATTAAAGTTTCTGCAGGATTCATGGAAGTGAGGGACAATGACTAACTTTGACTATGAATCAATTTGGGTTCTCTTCTTAGGAAAGAAAACCAAGTTTGTGCATTTTTATTTTAAAAGTATCTACACAGTCTTTTCAAGAGTAACTAAAAATAACCTACCATTGTGTACCAAAGATGGCTTTTTAAAGCCTGCAGTCTAGTTTGTTTGCAGGAATACTTTATTGCTGTATTGTGGAGTAACTCAACAATGAAATTATTTTAAAAATTAAAACTAATATGAAGAAAAGAATAATGAACCTCACTGTAACATGAGCCTTTGCTATGGTTTGTTATTAATGTATGCAGCAAAAATCTTGAATAGAAGTTTGTTTTCAAATTTCAGAGTGTTCCACAGGACAGTGTTTGCAATAATATTGCTAAAAAGAATACAAAGTCCCCAGATAACTGCTCCATGCAAATACTACAGTAGCATTTTGAAGCAATAGTGTTAAGAAAATAGATTTTCTTGCCTCTCTTCTGTTCACAGGTATGTGGGCACTTATTTTTTACAATATAACTTTTTTCTCTTGAGCTACATGTGGGCAAAATCTGATGATTTATATAAGCTATAGATGAAATGGCAGGAGGTTTTACATTTAACTACTGAATTTAAGGGATTTATTAATGAAGTATCACTCCTATCTACTAAAGTAGACAATTAAAACTACTGTTTTTGTTTCTTTTCCATTTCTTTTTTTCTCCCCTATTCTCTTAATGTGTTTATTATCATTGTAAATTTTAATTCTATTTCCCCTAAGTAAAACCTAGTTGTGTACAATAATCTGTGTTTTTCAGTATGAGAATTTGTATATAATTCCTCTTTAATCACTACAAGAGACTTTATTTTTGCATAATTGTAGAAAAATATTCAGGTTTATGGTGCTTATCTCAATAGTAGAAAAGAAATATGTATTTACCATGTTTTAGAAATAATAAAAAGAACCAATTATAGTGATTGCACTCTGTAATTTTTCTCCTTTTGCCTTAGACCTTAAAGAACACACCATACACCTGTGTTAAACACTTTGATTTTCACAGGGTCTCTGAAAATCTTTGCAACACCTATCCATGCAGACCAATTTTTTCCTCCAATTTTGTTTCTAAGTACTTATTACAAAACTTTTTTCCCCCTCATCTTAGTGATTTCCCAATCATGATAAAGGAGGAGATTATCTGAGGATAAGAGATTGTGTCGGGTCTGAAATTGAGTCACTGACTGGCCTTTGCCATATTATTTTCCTGACATTTATGAGGTAAACATGCCAGCAGAATTAACTTTCAAATCCTTTCACCCTTCTAAGTGAGATTCAGTCTTGTACATGAAGTCTGTAAGGGTACAAAACTTTATCACAATATACCCTTGTGTATTCAGGAGGATGAATGGAAGAGAAAATTAAATATTTTTGAGCTATTGTTTGCCTTTATCACTGATGGAAGAGACCTATTTAATAATTTTCAGAAGTGTCTAATCAAATAGCAAAATTAATGAACAACTCTCAACCTATACTTTAAAATATTTGACTAGTAAAATATATGATACTTTGTAAAAGAAACTTTCAATGAGGTGGAGCATTATGAAATCTAAAAACATAAATAATTTTATTGTTCAAACTGTATGCCATATCTCCTGAAAAAAAAAAAAAAAAAAAAAAAAAAGAGAAAGGACTGGCATAATAATAAATGGCTTTTTTAAGCATAATTGAACAATTATAGTGTACTCATTGTATTTAGGCTAGGACAGTTTTACATTTCTGCTTTGAATGGTTTAGGAATTTAGTCTCGAATAATGTGTAATAATATGGAACTGTTCTAGAAAAAGAGAAGATCAGTCTTTTTCTTTTCTGCAAACAGGCTATTATTGTCTTAGCTTTCAATGAAAGTACATTTAGAATTCTATTTGAATATAGTACTGGAATGCTCATCCTTTTAGCTGCCAAAAAATAGCTGTTTGAAAAAGGATTAGTCAGATTTTGTGACTTGCAAATAAAATAATTATTATTTTTATTTGACTAACATAGTCAAAGTTAATAAAATTCACTTTTGAGGGTTCCTTATTCATCTAATATTTCATGGCCTCCAGGTTATTGATTAGTTTGTCCAAAACAAATCTCCCCAAACCCAATATTTTTCATTTTGTCTGGTGAATATCCCGGATGAGTGCTGTTGCACAGTTCAACTGAATCTCTTCAGTTGATGGTTTTCTCTCTCCAGTTGAATTTTTTTTTTCATTTTAGAGTGTGCTCCTTCTGCCTTCTGCTCTGGGGGCATATCTTCCAGACAGTGAAAAGCAATGAGCAGCTGGAGGCAACAAGCTAGATCAAAAGTCTGTTTCTGTCCATGGACAGGCTTGTTTATTCAAAACTAAATAAGAGATATCACTATTCATAGTCCCATCTGTAAATTCTTCATCCTGGCAATAATTCAGTGTGCATGACAATTGCTGTCTGAGGCTAAAGCATGACAACATCTCTGCGTGAATGATTGCAGAATAACAGGTCCCATCTGAAAGAAAGCAAAGTGTGTGGTAGAAGGCAGACTGGCATTGTGAAAATGACAGCTACTTGGGGAACTAAATACAGGAATTCTGCATTCTCTGCACCTCAGCTTTAGTACTAATCTGTAGTTTGTCATTTTGTAATACTGGGACATGCTGCAGCAGTGTGATTTTCTGTAGAGGATGGCATCAATGTCATTTTTCTTCATCACTTGGCCTTCTCTTAAACGTTTTTTTAAAGTTTATCCAGTTTAGCTTGTTACAGCTGAACGAATCCTACCCCCAGGACAGAATAATTGCAGGAATCTATGCTCTGAATCTGAGGCCAATTCAGATACAACAGTATATTTTTGATGAAGAAAAAAAGTCTTAAACTGTATCATTATGTGACTGCAACATATAAATGTTTGCTGGTATTTACCTGAGATAAAATCTGATGGTTCAAAATTTTGTTACTACAGAAGTGAAGTTAATAAGCTGTTAATTATATTTATTTGAAAAGTCTCTTCCTTTCTTGTGTTGCGATTTCTGACAAAACAATGTAGTAAACAGGCCTTGATAGTGCAACCAGGTCATACAAAATTTTTATATATTTTGACTTGAGTAACACTCTTGAAGTCCAAAGGACTTCAGTGCAGGCAGGTTTTAGCTAATGCTGAGTTGTATGCAAAGTCAAATTCCAGACCCAGAAATATGTGAATTTTTCCTAAAAAAACATTTTTGGGTTTGGGGGTTTTTGTTTGTGTTCTGGATTTGGGGGTTTTGGGAAGTTGTTTTTTTGGTTTTTTCTTTGTTTGGTTAAAAAATATTTTAAACTCACAATTTTTTCCAATTCTGCTTAGAACCATTGGATACAAAAAGAAGTATGTGAAAGTTCCACATGGTCATATTTGGGTTGAAGGAGATCACCATGGGCACAGCTTTGACAGCAACGCTTTTGGTCCTGTAAGTCAATTCTCTGTATGTCACAGTTTGCAACTGAAAAACTGTGCATATGTGAAACACGGCGAGTATGAATTGATTGTGATTGTAGTTTTATTATTTTTGTGAGAATTATTAAACTTTATAAAATATCTTGGTCAGCGGATATTGAGTTTTTTCTTAGCTATTTAAAAAAAATAAGGGCTTTCAATTTCCCACATGGAAGGAGATGCGGTAGAGATTTTAAATTTGGAGTGATATGCTGGAATTGTAGCCAGAGGGTGAGCCAGCTCCCTGTAGCTGACAGATGCTCCCTGAGGACGTTTTGCCAGCTGATATAATTTGGAATTATTCCCTGCTGGGAGCTTTGTCTTTCTTTAGTGCCAGTGCTGGGATAAAGAACTGGGGAACTGTAACCATGCTTAACAAGTGTTAACTGGTAAATTGGTCAGTGTACAATAGTAGCGATAGTTCAAAACTCTTCCCAAAGTAAATATGTACATTTTCTTTGTATATTGCATGAAAAAAAAATGTAACCTGTAAAATTTGTTTCTTGATGGGTAAAAGTGTGCATCTTTACATCAGGAGGACAGTCAATTCTTTCTCTGAATTCTAGTTAGGGTTTGATTTTGTCTTTGTTACACTTTGTATAGATTCTTGTTCTTGTTTTAACTTAATCTAGGATGCAGGAAATAGCTGCATAAACTGTGTAACCTGCTGTGGAAATACAAACTCTTTTAGCCCTATTCCACATGCAGGATTTTTCTCTATTTTTAAGAGAGAATATTCTTCTAATGTTATTTAAAACCCAGTGTTTATCACAGGGAAGCTGTCAAGATTGGATTTTTCTACCCTTATGCATTTCATGTCTATTTCACACAGAAGTCATCCCACTGACTAATTGAATTAATGACAAGAAGGACCTTATGAGTTTATCTGGCTTCTTGAAGTTTTGTGCAATTATTAAATTGAAATAATTTGTTCTCAGGAAAGAATACAAAATAGGTCTAGTGTCTGAATTGGAGTATGTAATAGTGATGCCTTCTTTTAGTTAGTCTCACTTTTTGTGTGCTTGCATTTTCTACTGTTTTTCATAATTATTTTCCTTCTACTATTTTCTAAGATTTCTAACATCTAGTTTTAGAGGTTCTTTCCTGCAGAATTAAGTCAATCTATCCTGTGCAGGTATTGCTTTCCTCCCTCAGTAAGCTTTTCTCTGTCACTCTCTGTTCACAACATAAATCTTAGTCATAAAGCCTCTAATCTTCTTTTCACTTACAAATATATTGCCAATGTAGGCTCAGAGCATAAAGAACCTTTAGCAGTTGGACATTGGTTTCAGATTTACAGCAGCTCACACAGAAATTCATACAAGGTAAAATCCTCAAGGTAGGCCCCATGCAGCTTTCATGAAAGATAGAAGGTTGGGGTAAATCTAAATACCCTCAGATTTTTGCTCAATTCACTGATGTTTATAAATATTAGTATATCCCCTTCACTAGGCTTTGACCTCACATTAATCATCAATTGTTACCTGACATCAGATAGCATATCACTTTTCTTACAGAAATGGCACTTTTGAGAGCTAGCAGGACAGGTTTTGACAGTGAATTCTTTATCTTTCTGATGGAAGAATGACCTTTGTATTGCTTTGATGAATACATTATGGACAAGTCAACTGTAAATAGGTATTTTCCTCTCAAATTGAATTAGAACAGCAATCACTGAATGCAAGCAGAAGGCACAGAAGAGATCACAATGTTTGAAACTAGCTTCAGAATATTAAAATATAGATTTTTTTGTCATTAGAAGAAAATGGAAATGTATTTAGAAGGACACACTGGACTCCAGGTTATTTTTATCCTACACACGTAAGATTTTGGGTTACTGGGACATTTTCTACTTCTCTTCTGTACTCTGGAGATTATTTGCACAAATGAATTAAAATATTAAAATCACTCTTTCAAGCCATTCAGAACATATGTAATTTTTGAAAAACAGAAAACTCTCCTAAGACTACAGAAGTGGTAAGGAACAGACATGGTAAGACATGGAAGTGTTTTTCTCATTTTGTTAGTGTATAGGTCACCTAAGATATTAGGTTAAATGTGCGGCACACTAGGGCATGTGTGTCACAATTAAGTTCTGACTTTCAAAATGATGTTTTCTTTGATCAAAAGATGCAGTAGAAATAGTGGGAGGCTTAAGTGGACTGTGACTACCATTTCTTCTACTTTCATGATATTGTATAAGAGAAAGGCATTTATAGTGCAGATAGGCTCAGTAATGTTTTGTAGATGAACTTAATGAGTTACATGGGGCATAAAAGGAAATTATAGAAAAACAGATTGAGAACAGATGTTAGATAAATTTTTTCTCTTGGAGAATAACTCTGTGTAATGGCCTAGTGGGGTAGGTTGATAAAGCATAAACCCTGATACCAATCAAGTTCTAAATTAGATGCACCTTTAGACAGATATGAATTTCTAAACTGCATAACTTGGCCTGATTAAATTGTGTTTATTTAGTTCATAAAAGTGTTATAAAATAAATAATATCTTGTTATTTCTTGGTTTTACAAGACTAAAATTGTATTTTTAAAGAATACACACATATTTTCCTGAAGTGTGAAAATGTTTAAACTGAAGATTTTTAAAGGTTTACTATTTCCTTTCTGCTTAATTTTGTCTTTGGATAAAATTAATACCTTAACTGATAGTGGAATAATAACAGGGTTATGGTTAGTGCTGAATTAGAAATGCTATTAGCTTTCTATATGATTAAAACTTAGATATTAATTACCTTTTCTTAATATGGGACTAAATAAATTAGTTCATGGCTATTGTATATTGTATTTTAAAAAATGCTTTGTGTAATACCGAATAGCAAATGATTCTATTGCTTTAATACCGATGTGTTTCAGGTTTGGAAATCTGTCAGCCATTCATAAGAGTGAAAATAGCTGTTTTGAATAGAAGCCAATAAACATCTATAGAACTTGTAAAATTTTACTCTTATTTAAGGGGTAAAAAATTACATATTGCTAGGTTTTGGGATTTTTTTTTTTTTTCAGTTACCTGGACTAGGATAGAGATTTCTGTTAATTTGATTGTAGCTGTTTCTAAATTCTGAGTAAAGTCAAGTTTTATAACATTAGGTTAGCATTTCTTATTTGGCATACTACAGAAATGTGATAATGAACACCTAATATAATTAAAGCACCACGTTTTGAAGTTTCTTCTTTTTGTATTCAGTTCTGGTAATTTTCCTATTTGATGGACCTTTTTAATAATTCAACAGCATAGGAAATATAAAAATAATGTTCCTGGCAATGCTTCTGCTTTCTTAGATCAGAAATGCAGGAGATATTATAAAGAATTGATGAAATATTAGACTCCTCTGCTGCTTCAAATTTCTTAAAAATTTTAAAGGGTTAACTTTATGCCAGATCAGGTATTGTCTTTGCGTGCATAGTCAGTATAATATCAGCATAAAAGCAAAGTGACAATTTATATTCTGTGTCCATTATTCTGGCTAAATCAAGGGAAAAGTCATTATAAAATGTACTTTGTGTAGATTATATGTTTAGAGCTGTCACCCAGCAGTGCAGAGATGGTTATCCAAATATATGAGGGTATCTAAGAAAGAGTTAATAATAAGTGCATACAATAACTGATATATCCCTGGATGTACATATGTGCAATGAGAAGCTTTCTCACAATTTTAAAAGTGAAACAGGCAAATTTTAATCTTATAATTCTCTTATTTATACATTTACATGTTTCCAAATGCCTCCTGGGGATATGAAAGACCTTTATAAAATTTGGGCTTGCAATCAATGGCAGTCTTTCAGCTGTCATGTATAAGACCTGAACAAAAGCTCATTAAAGTCAATGAGAGATTTCTATTTGCTTTAATGGCTCTGAATAAAGTTCTTTATGAGTTAACCTGTACAATCCAGTGTAAGGGCAAAAAAACTATTATCCTCCTTCCCTGGGAAACCTGTGACACAGGTAGGTTGAGTATCTTGTCAAAAACATCTCTTTTGGCCCATCCAGGTTCCTATCCTAGCACTTTTCCTGAAAATTTATTTATTTTTAATGTGTTTCTTTTCAAAATTAAATCTTGTTGAACCTGAGCCTAAATTTTTTGTTTGGCAGAAGTTTTACATTCATGAGATTCAAATGAGTGAATTGCTTTTAGTTAGCATCACTGTAGAGGCCAGTTTTTATGATACCTATTCTGTACTGTAAATTCTTGAAATAAAATATCTGAAAAACATTTCTATCTGTTTAACCACATTTTCATTTGCCAGCACAAACCTGTAGACTGTGGCTAGGAAACTATAAACTAGAAAGTGATATTGAACAGAATATGCTGGATTTACTAGTTATTTTGATTTGATTTTCAAAGGCAATCATCATCCCTTTCAGCTATAATATAGGAATAGTTTAACTGTTAACCCTCAACGGGGAAATTCAATTACTAACAGTAGTAGAATGTGGCCTCTTATGATTTTTTAGGCTTTTATTACTTCTCTCTTAATTACTGTTAATGAATACAAGTAGTCAAAAGCAGAAAATAAGAAAATTACATTAGACAGTAAATTGAACTGAAATATGACACTTCTAGTGGAGTGTGAGGTTCCTGCTGATAAAGGAAATATTTAAACCAAGATGTCCGCAGCTTGTGAGAGTGCCTCTGCTTCATTTGCTCTGTCATCTTCTGAGGGAGATTCAATGGACAGTCAATAGAGGAAGCAGATCTCTTTCTGCAATTTTGAATTACTTACATAACAGCAAACAAAGGATACCACATGCCCTAAAAGTGCACATCATCTTAGTGATGATCTTGCCATCTGGAGAAACTTTCATATGTGAGCTATAATCTAGTGCAAGGATTACATATCTCCCTGAAATGGAGCAGCCTTTAAGACAAGAGGTGGGAAGAGTTTAACAGCTCCCAGCAGTGCACTGAACATCTCTGCATTAAATTGCACAATAAGGCACACAGCTAGGGCACAC